TCAAAATTGGAGGACACATTTTAAAGTTTTAAGGTCAGAAGAAATATTTTAAAGCGTTTGCAGGCCAAAAAAGTATTTTGAAATGTGTTTCAGAGGGTTTAAAATGGCCTTTAAAAAAAATAGCCCGTTCAACTGTTGGCGGATTTTTCCTTTTTTTATACAGGGTGTTTCATTGGTAAAGGGACTAACTTTAACCATGGATGGAGACCACCGAGGTGCTTCCAAATAACCCATACTTAATGGGTCTTTCGACCTTAATAGCCTAGTTTTTTCCAGACTCATAACTTATTAACCACCCTGTATATGTTTTTGACATTTGGCGTACTTATTCATCGTAAATTACCAAATCTAAAAAGGTATAAACAAGAAACGAAATCCAGGTCCGTCTTTACAAAAAATTAATAAATTCGTCCATCCTTAAAACAACATCCTGTATGTCTGAATTTGAAATTTTTGTTTTCATATTTGAAAAGAGCACAAAAAACTGAATCCAATAGTGTACATTTTATTTTTGCGCAGACGATTTTACTACTGAAATTATAAGTCCAAATTGTTATTTTTGAGCATTTTGGAGGTACAAACTGGAAACGGACGGAGTTTTATTACGGTATATTTAAAATTATTTAAAGAAGTATATTTCTAAAAGCTATAGATATGTCAATACTTATAATTATATGCATCTACACCATTTCAAAAAATAATTTTAGGGCCAAAAATCAGAATTATTATTTTTTCGACCGCACCCTGTATAAATTATTCCATGTAAGTTTTAATAAATAGTATGTAGGATAATAATATGGAAAGAGACTAACATTTAGTAGAACAAATAATAACATTTACAACTAAAGGAAAAACACATAAATAATAACTAATTAATACATAATAAACAAATCAAAATAACAACTAATAATACAAAGAAATACAAATGTTGGAAATGAAGTAATAAACCTTATTGCTACTAAAAACTACAAGAGTTGTTCAAAATGACCTCCATTTTGTTCGATGCATTTTCTTGCTCGTTTTAAAATATGGTTGACGGCTTTTCTGAGTACATCGGGATTATTTTTCATTTCTTCGCACGCGTTTTCTATCCTCCCAACTAGTTCTACCCTACTATTTATGGGAGTGGAATATGTATACTTTTGTTTTTAGATGTCCCCAAACGTGGTAATCCAGCGGATTAAAGTCAGGCGATCTTGAAGGCCAGTGTATGTAGTATACGAAAGGAGGTATTTAGGACCTAACGTTACATTTGTAAATAATAAATAAGTATAATTATTTTATTATTAGATTATCTTATAGGCCTTGGAATTGGCATTTCACATTTTTATGTCATTTGTATTTGCATCTTCTGTCAGTCATTATTGTTTTTTCAGTACCTATTTTCCGTGATATTTTTTATTGTATTTGGTAATTATTAAAAATGCCATATCAATATACTAACGAAGAATACGCAGATATGATATACATTTATGGTTTTTGTGATGGTAATTCTCGAGCTGCAAAAAGGGAATATGAATTGAGATTTCCTGGTCGAAGATCACCAAATTTCAAAACTTTTATTCGCGTTTTAAATTCATGAGAAGATATGGTAGATTCCCAACAGCTCAATTAAACGAGCATCGTGAAAGGCATCATTTGAATGTGGAACAAAATATTATAAATATGGTTAATAATAATCCAGAACTGAGCACAAGGAGAATTAGTTATGCATTTAATGTACCTCATACCAGCGTATGGCGACGACTAAAAAAACATCGTTTACATCCATATCATATTCAGGAAGTACAGAGGTTAGAAACAGGCGATGAAATTCCTAAAATTAATTTTAGTAGGTGGATCCTCTTAAATCGGCGAATTGTACGTAGATGCATATTTACGGATGAGGCCCAGTTTATAAGAGACGGCGTGTTCAATTTAAGAAACTCGCACATTTGGTCGACAGAAAATCAATTTGCTGTAAGAGAGACCCATTCACAATACAAATTTTCAGTAAATATTTGGCGACTGGCGAAGTTTATTTAGATTTTCTTCAAAATATGTTGCCTGTTCTATTAGACGATGCAGATATAGCCGGTGTATATTTTCAACATGATGGTGCTTCACCGCATTACCGGCTAATTGTGAGAGAATTTTTGAATGAAAATTTTCCTAATACGTGGATAGGCAGAGGTGCTCCCAATCACTGGCCTTCAGATCGCCTAACTTTAATCCGCTGGATTACCACGTTTGGGGACATCTAAAAACAAAAGTATATTCCACTCCCATAAATAGTAGGGAAGAACTAGTTGGGAGGATAGAAAACGCGTGCGAAGAAATGAAAATAAACCCGATGTACTCAGAAAAGCCGTCAACTATATTTTAAAACGAGCAAGAAAACAGAGTTGGGTAGTATCCGGATACTTTTCAAATTTTGTATCCGGTATCCGTGACCAAATTTGTAAGTATCCGGATACCGGATACTTTTTTCGGCATTCGGATACTTTTAAATTATTTACCACAATCGTAACTAATCCAATCCATATTATCTGTATTAAAATATATAATCGAAATACTTTGAGCTACCCTGTATAATTAGAAATAAAATACGTATTTTTCAATATTACAATATTTAAGATACAATTGCAATAGGTACCTACTTAAATAGAATATAGTAAAATAATTATTTTATTATGATTTGTAGTTTTGTAAAATTTAAAATAACGCAAAAAAAACTTCTCATCGCCAAGGATGAATTCGACGATTCACTCAGTATACAGACGGTCGGTATTCATCATTTTGCGGCACGTTTTTACAGGAAAAATCCTGCAAACCCTTGTCCGGTGTTAGCGTCGCGAACTTGTGGAGGTTCCATTAGCCCAGTGATGTTTCAGTTGGCACAGACAAGAGACGATTGTTTATGTGTTTTTATATAATGCAATATAACTAAACTTTCTGAATCAGTTTTAGTGGCTAACTATACGCAAAGGTAAGTAGGTGTAGGTACCTCTAATTTTTTGTTATGTAAAATGTCTAATTACATTATTAGTTCCCAAAATGTAGTCGAGAAAATACATGTATGACGTTGTTGCTCATAATGTTACTGATCATGTGTTATTTATGTCGTCATCAACATCAATAAAGTATACAGATCTGACAAGATCAAATATACGAGCCTGCTTTGTCTGTGCCAGAACGAAACATTCAGCAATCTCTCACTCCTCCTCCTTTCGACGCTCTGGACTCTACCGAGTACCTCTCGTCGGAGGATCTATAAAAAATGGATTGTCGAATACATCTGACACTGACGAGAATATCGAAAAATTGTATAAACATGGTAAGTCGCGCCAACAACGAGTTTATTTCGTTAGATTTATATAGGCGCGACTCGTTTTATTTACACGCACCTTTATGTTTTATTCATTCATTCATTTTGTTTTAATATTTTATATTTACAGAATAAAAATAATAAACAATTTATTGACTAGTTTTTTTCCTGTTTCTATTATATCGCTTTCCATTTTCGATCATTTATTTATACCTAATATTGTTTATTGTTACTCGTAATCAATCTTATTGCATAATTATAAATAAGTATTGGTATGAAAACATTATTTTAACTCACTTTAAAAGTATCCTAAAAAAGTATCCGAGAAAAGTATCCGGATACTTGTATCCAAGTACTTTTTAGGTGAAAGTATCCTAAAAAGTACCCGGATACATTGTAAGTATCCGTATCCGGTACTCGGATACTTTTTTGCTGTATCCGACCGAACTCTGCAAGAAAATGCATCGAACACAATGGAGGTCATTTTGAACAACTCTTGTAGTTTTTAGTAGCAATAAGGTTTATTACTTCATTTCCAATATTTGTATTTCTTTGTATTATTAGTTGTTATTTTGATTTGTTTATTATGTAATTATTAGTTATTGTGTTTTTCCTTTAGTTGTAAATGTTATTATTTGTTCTACTAAATGTTAGTCTCTTTCCATATTATTATCCTACATACTATTTATTAAAACTTACATGGAATAATTTATAGAGGGTGCGGTCCAAAAAAAAAATAATTCTGATTTTTGGACCTAAAACCGGACCTGAAATTATTTTTTGAAATGGTGTAGATGCATACAATTATAAGTATTGACATATCTGTAGCTTTTAGAAATATATTTCTTTAAATAATTTTAAATATACCGTAATAAAATTAATAAAACTCCGTCCGTTTCCAGTTTGTACCTCCAAAATGCTCAAAAATAACAATTTGGACTTATAATTTCAGTAGTAAAATCGTCTGCGCAAAAATAAAATGTACATTATTGGATTCAGTTTTTTGTGCTCTTTTCAAATATGAAAACAAAAATTTCAAATTCAGACATACAGGATGTTGTTTTAAGGATGGACCAATTTATTAATTTTTTGTAAAGACGGACCTGGATTTCGTTTCTTGTTTACACCTTTTTAGATTTGGTAAGTTACGGTGAATAAGTACGTCAAAAACATATACAGGGTGGTTAATACGTTATGAGTCTGGAAAGAAATAAGCCAAATTGATAAAACACCCTGTATCTCGGCTATAAAGGTCGAAAGACCCATTAAGTATGGGTTATTTGGAAGAACCTCGGTGGTCTCCATCCATGGTTAAAGGGAGTCCCTTTACCAATGAAACACCCTGTATATAAAACTTTGTTGTCGCAATATTTGGATGAGCCAACTTAAATGCCTCAAACAGTATACATGTATTTCAAAAATACCTTGTATATATTGTAGACAATTATTTTCAGCAAATTATAATTTTTTATATCTCACTATAAGATTTATTATTTTTGAAGTTAGCTGGTTTGAAGGTTATCTGACTTACAGCCGGTTGCAAGAACGTTTATTAAAATTTACGAGTCTGATAAACTTTGACAGATGTTTAACTACAAATTGAATTTAATGTTTCAAGCTGCGCCATAGATTTTAATGGACGGGTTTGCAACTGGCTGTTACATATTTACATTTCTAATTTAAAAAAAAAAACAACCAATAGTAACTCTTCAAAAATTCTGTGACCTTTTCCGTTTGGTGTCCATCGCATCTAAAATGGGTTGCCCTTTAACTTGATACCTTTTACGAAGTTCGTCTATCTCTCTCTCCATATACGAATCCAAAGTATTCATCCTTTGCTGAAGTTCTTCGAAACTGAGATACTTCAAGAATTCAAAATCTCCATAATTAAAAATTTGATGATATTCCAAAGGTTGGACTTGGACTGACTGAGATGATTGTTGTTGTTCGGATATATGAAAGTTATTATAGTTTTGTTGATCTTTAGCAGATAAAGCAGTCTCCAAAGTTAATGGGCTCGAATTGCCCTGTTTAATTTCAGCCTCATTTTTATCGAAATGATCTAGAAACATTGGTCTATACTTCTCTCCCTGTGTCGAGCTAGTGTAATGGCGTTTCATAGTTTGATCGTCTATATCACTATTAATAACCATAGTACCGAGTTGCGATTCTAATTCTACCAATGTACCACTCGGCGACATCGGTACTAAAGTACCACCCTTATTAGGAACTAAAGTAGCTTCATCAGCAAACGAAATCATAGTTTGATTGGCTAATCCAACATCCTCTTCCGACCCTTCGTTGGTATTTTTTTTCAAGCCTTGCAGATTTTTAGCGGAGTTTAAATTTTTTATTTTATTTTCACGTATTTCATGAGCTTCCTGTATCATAATATTTAGGATTGTTGGCGGTTTAGCGTTTTTGATAAATTCATGATTTAATAGATCACTTGCGGAAGCTCGTTCTTCTGGGTTTTTAACTAAGCAGCCGCTAACGAAATCAATGAATTCAGCGCTCCACTTGTCAGGTTCTCTGAAAGATGGCGGAGGTTTTGTAGGTATCATAAAAATAGCTCTCATCGGATGGATGTCACCATAAGGTGGTTTGCCTTCGGCCATTTCCAAAGCAGTTATTCCCAGGCTCCAAATATCGGCCACGCAATCGTAACCTATTTCCTGAATAACTTCTGGTGCCATCCAGAATGGGGTGCCAATCAAAGTGTTTCTCTTTGCCATTGTGTCAGTCAATTGACCAGCCACACCGAAATCGGCTAATTTGGCATGCCCTTCGGAATTTAACAAAATATTTCCAGCTTTAATATCTCTGTGTATTTTTCTTCTTAAATGTAAGTATTCAAGACCTTTCAAGGTGTCGCATAAAATTGTGGCAATTTCGTCCTCGTCTAATGTCTTTTTTCGTAATCGCATTATATCAGAAACTGATCCGGCCCCACAATATTCCATGACTATCCACAAATCTGTATTTTTAAAGTAACTTCCGTAATACTTAACGACGTAAGTGCTATCACATTGTTGCATAATTGAAATTTCTTTTATTATTTCTTGAAGGTCGGTGTCGACAGGCACTTGTTTTATGGCTAACACTTGTCCGGATTCTTTGTGAAATGCTTTGTAGACGCTTCCGTAGGAACCCTCGCCTAATTTGCATATTATATCGAATACTTCTTCTGGCTGACGGGTTAGACTTTCTTCTGATAACTTTGTTAATTCGCTTTTGGAAGACATTTTGAATTGTGAATTACCAAATTGATCTTAAGAACTACAGATTAATTCTGTTAACTATTTCAGTTGTATTTCATCGGGAGTATCGTTGATTTTGTAAAGGATCAAAAAGCAATGATATATTAATGTACTGCATGCTGACCTGCAACAATAAAAAAGATTCATACTTAATAGTCGTGTGGTGCACGACGGCGCCGAGGCACCGAAAAGACTCAAAACTCAAAAGTAAAAAAAAAAGAAAGCAACAAACATTGTCAAAACAAAATTTATAATGATCAAAAAACCGTAAGGAATTGCTAGCTATTACATTGTTTTTTATTTTTACTCTTTCGAGACAAAGGAACCGAATTTCTCGAAAATAATATATTTTCCAAATGAGAGTACGCAATAATAGCATTTATACAATCGAATACGTAACATAATAACATGAATTGTGTAAACTCAAACAAATCTGATTTTATTCATGTTTGAGCTTGAAATTTGGCTTGCAGCGAGAGAGAGAGAGAGAGATATATGCTTTATTGTCGTAAAAAAATTTACAAAAATTTTATAGACAAAGCGTATAACTTAAATACTAAACATATTATAAAAATAACTAAATAGCAGAAAAAACAAACAGAAACAAACAGACAAAATAGGAATAACAATTGCAATGGATATGCAATATCCGTCATTATAATTATTCTAATTTAATTTTTAAATTTAAATTTAAACTTTAATATTTAATTATTTAATTAATGCCATTGTATGTGGAACTCAAATGTCTAAGGTACGTTATAAAATTCTGCTACTGTGTAATATGGTCTTTCTAGAAGAAAAGCTTTAGCCAGTCTTCGGAACTTATCGTATGTATTTATAGATTTTAATTGCATCGGAAGGTTATTATACAATTTTTTGGCATTGTAGGTAATGGAATGTTTTAATAGGTCAGAAGTGGGCATTGTTAAATAAACATCAGTCTCTAAATTTCTTGTAGGATATCTACGAGTCGGTCTTTCGGATAAATTTTGAATGTGCTTGCGAACTAAGCAGACGGATTCGAAAATAAATAGAGCAGGAAGGGTTAGAATTTTGAAATTTTTGAAGTAATTTTCGCAATGTGTCCTACTACTTAAACCAAATACATAGCGGATTGCTCTTTTTTGCAGTTTAAAAATAGATTCGAAAAGGTATAAGCTACAAGAACCCCAGAAAGGTAAACCATAGCGAAGGTGAGATTCGAATAAGGAAAAGTAGGTTATTAATGCAGTAGAAGGAGTCAGCTCTTTAGAAACCGATTTAATGGCAAAACATGCGGAGGATAATTTTTTTGCTAAGGTATCTATATGAGCAGACCATTTTAGAGAATCGTCTATATAAAGACCTAAAAACTTGATTGAAGTCACCGTTTGGATCAGATTATTGTTTAAAGTTATAGGTTGTAAAGTACCTCTGTAAGACAATGCTACAGTTTTACTGGTGTTGAAACAAAGTCCATTCGAATCAGACCAGGACTTAATAGTCACTAGATCTTCACTTATGATAGATTGTAATGTCTGCATGTTAGAACGAGCGGACAAGCGTTTTTTCCTGTCTGAACTTGCAATGTACGAAACTTGATATATGAAGCGCTGCATCGGTCGCGATTTCATTTGTTGCCAGATGCCTGATCGATAATTAACTAAAAGATATCTGTTTTTGAAACTTTAGTTTTTTGTAGTTTTACAGTAAGTATTTTGTGTTGTGAATTATGAATTAAAATTTATTTTTTATTTTAGATTTATTAAAACGTTAAAAGCAAAAAAAAAACTTGAATCTCAAACATCATTTTATATTTAATTATATAAACATCAATGTTAATTGAAGTAAATTCAAACAGAATAATTGATAAGCACTAATATTACTATTTATAAAAATTTATAAATTTTCAAATAAGTAATGTTGAGAAAATACTTTCGAGTTTGAGACGTCGAAACATTTCCATTTTTCATGAATAATTTGTCAATTTATTTGCTTACGTATTAATTTCTTTACAGTATACAGGATGTCAGAAAAAAAGAAGACATTGTCTGGATACCAAAATTTTCTGAATAAAAGAAAAAGAGAGGAAGAACTAGAAAACCATGTCAAAATTAAGCATTTTTTTTAAACCCGAGTCTACTTTGTCAAATATTAATAACAACAATAATACAGCTGCATCCCAATAATCTGAACCTGTAAGGGAAATGTGCCTGAGTTGGCATACTGGTATTTTCTCGGCTTCTAAAAAAATTTCGGCGCAATTAATCTTCTCCTTCTGTTTACCTATTGTGTACAAGTCGGCAAATTTGTTTGTGGCTTCCTCTGATTATAAACAAAGATATTAAGTACGATACTGCTATTTTGAAGGTTGGCATAGTATGCCAACTCGCCCTTAAGTAACAAAATTAATTATCTGGTTTGTTGTTGCAGGTTTAAGTAAAAAATTGTTGGAAAATACCAAAGAAAAGATAACCGTCTATAATGAGACGAAGATAACATGAAAGCAGAGCAATAAGACCTGTTAAATCTGGAAAAATGGGCTGGTTGTTAACATTCAAAATCTACAATGTTCCTTTTGGTACATTACGACGACGATGTCAGGGAACGAATAAATTTAGTGTAGTAGCAAAAAAGAACTACTTGGGAGGGAAAAGACCAACGTTTGATAAGACTATGGAAAGCCACCTCGTTGACCATATTAAAAACATGGAAGCTAGGTTCTTTGGATTTACGACTTTAGAGGTACGCAAACTTGCATATGAAATGGCAGTCCAAAACAATATTAAACACTCGTTTAATTCTCAGAAGAAGATAGCCAGGTGGGATTGGTTAAAAGGGTTTCCAAAGCGCAATCCGACTATTTCACTTAGTTTACCCGAGTCAACCTCTTCTGCCAATAGAAAAATATTTTAAACAGTTGGATAAAGCCCTCGAGCAAGTTAACTATAACCCGACAAAAATTTGGAATATGGATGAAAGTGGCCTTAGTACAATTGCTTCAAAAAATTGTAAGGTTTATGCAACTAAAAGAAAATGCAAGCACGCATTTAACAGTCGTTTGCGCAATGAGCGCTTCCGGGTCTTATTTACCGCTGCATTTTATATTTCCGCGCAAAAACATGAAAAACGAATTATCGGACGATTCTCCTCTTGGTTCAATTGGTTTTGCTCAGGAGAATGGAAGGAAAACGTCGGAATTTTTTTGGCTTAATTTTTTTGCTGAAACTGTAAAACCTACAGAAATTGAAAAAGTGTTGCTGGTACTAGATGGGCATACAAGCCACAAATCCTTAGAGGCTCAGGTTTATGTTAACCATCGCACTGTACCCATAGGTTACAGCCATTAGATGTCACATTCTTTGGGCCACTCTCCACCTACTACAATTAAGAAATTACTAGCTGGTTAAAACAGGGTTGTCACTCATTTTCAGGTAGGAAAGATTTTTAAATCTGCATACCAGAAAGCAGCTACTATAAACAATGCTGAAAAAGGATTTGCTAAAACGGGTATATACCCTTTTAATAAAGATGTTTTTCCGGATTGGATGTTTGAACCTGCGGAAACCACCAACTTTGAGAACAATCAGAATACCGAAGGACCGAATAATAACGATAAAAAGTCAAAAGACGAAGAAGAACCGAATAATAACAATGAGAAAACGACAGAAGAGAAAAGCCATATAGAGCAAAGAAATGAAAATTTCAATACATAAGATAATTTGCGGGTAGCCGGGCCATCTGACATACAAAACAAAATATTACAGAAAAAAGTCGGAAAAGAAACAAATAAATTTCCAGCAACATCTTGCTTAATCCTACCCTCAGAAATTTCACCTTCACCAAAAGCTACTGAAACGAGCAATAAAAGAAAACGGAACAACTTTCCAAATATGGCGTCTTAAATACAACCCCCGAAATAGAACTTTTAAAAATGAAAACTGCTGAAAAAAATGCTCAGTTAGCAAGAAAGGAGGCAAAAAAGTAAAAACTAATATTTTTAACGATACTGATTCAAAAACTAAATCTGAACCTATAAAAACTGCTACAATTGCACTCAGTTTAATACCTACCATGCAATCAGAGACAGAGATCAGTGACGATGAAGATGATACAGTCTGCATCTTTTGCAATGGACTATTTTCTCATTCCAAACCAAACGAAAAATGGATTCGTTGCTTGTAAGAAATGGGCGGCCCATTGCAAATGACATTGAATTATATCCGGATATAAATCAATACCTGTTGCGGTATTAGCCAAAGAAGTAGTTGTTTTCTGAAGGGAAACGGTCGCTCGTAATTATGTGATATTGGCTTTGAGATTTATTCATTTTATTTTATATTATATTAACCTTTATGTTGCATTATTAAAATAATATATTGTTTTGTTTTTATTTGTCGATCAGTTTCGTCCTGTGATATATAAACGAGTATTTTTAATGTTTTAAATATTTTTTTTATTTCTTGTGCTTTTGTATCATATATTATATTTGAAACTAAAATACAAAAATTTTGAGTTGTAATATTTCTGTTTTCTATAAGTTTATAATTATGTTACGTACCTCAATTTAGAAAATACTTGTATGGCCTGTACTTGTAAAATATAAAAATGAAAATAAATTCATGAAAATACTTTTTAAAATTGTTTTTCAATAATGATAATAATACCTAACTTAACCCGTATCTGTACTCACATATGAACGTAATACAAATTTGGGGCGTTATTTTAAATGTGCACAAGGGCGCCAAAAGTGCTAGGCGCAGGCCTGATTAGCAAGGCGACGGCCTTTCTCATAATACACGAATTGGTACTTATGTTAGAGGTCCATGATACAGATTATCAAAATTATAACATAATTAAAATAACTTTAATTTATTTAATATATTACCGTCAAACAGGGTGACTTCGGCCATTTGGGGTCGCTTCGGACAACAGGTAGATTTTTTGAATATGCATTCACAGCGGCAACAGTGTAAAAGATAGCCCATATTAGTATGTTACCCAAATGTTTACAACTTAGTTGCCGTTAGATGATGGTGTGTTGCGGTCGCACGTCGTGATCAGTTTTCCGTTTCACGTAATTTTTGTTTTGGTAAGAATTTCTTAATTCAAAAGATACTGAAAAGTAAGTTGTGCCCACCTCAT